TTAGAGCAAATAAATGAGTGTCCATTTGATTATTGTGCTGAAATTATACAACATGACATTTTATTAAGAACAGTTGAAAAGCATTTTAGTTGTTTTGATAATTATGTTGCATGATACAATATTTAAAAACACAGTTTGGCAAATGAATGCCTCTTGAGCCATGATTGCCTAGAAAATACAATATTTTTTTCTTCAAATGAATCCCTTGTATGGGCTCATCTGTAAAAATTGGCCATATAAAGAACTTAATATTAGTTGAATTCTGCTTAAAGATCTTAAATAGGTGGCTGAGTGCCTATTTGACTGGCTTGAAAAAAATACACTAAAAAGTATTTAAGTTGTTCATTTGCCTTTCAAAAAGTCCAATTCCATGTTGAAAGCAGTAAAACTTTTGTTAGTGATAACAGCAGTTAATTTTTGGTAGTTGGTAAACATTATTTAACATAAAATATCTTAAGTGATTTTTAGAGTTATTTTTTACTGAATTGCATGGTATGTGGTGATTTGTATTCATCTTGCATTTTAGATAATCCTGAGCCAATATTAAAGAGGAAATGAAAAAAGAAGTCAATAACATTTTTAGCCTAACCATATGTGAATTCCCCATGTCAGTCTAGCATGGGGAAGTGATTATGAAGTGATGTGATATTTTGAATTTAGGCATATATGGTATCAGTGCAGAAAAAAAAAATTAACCTGGCAGACTTGGCTGCTTATCCTTAGAAAGACCTGCTTGTAAGTTTAACCCTTGGCTGGCATCTAGGAACTAGGCATTCAGAAAACTTCCCTACCCCTCTAACTGGTGAAAGTAGTTCTCCATGCCTGTTACATGCAAGAAAATGGGTTATACTGGACACTTACTTTCCTTCTAAGAGACTGAAATCTTGTTATGTGCCAGGCTGAGATTGCTTGTATGACAAGCTCCCAATAAAAACTCTGTATACCAAATCTCTGACAAGCTTCCCTGGTTGGCCATATTTCATGTATTGATGTTTGAGTCATTTGGGGGTGCTGTAATAGAAATAACAAAGACTGTGTGTCATAAACAATAGAAATTTCTCTTCTCATGGTTCTGGAGACCAGGAAGTCCAAGATCAAGGTACGAACCAATTTGGTTGCTGGTGTGGGCAACTTTGTTTGGTTAGTTGGTGTGGGTAACCTCTTCTTATTTGGTAGACTGGGCTGCCTTCTTGCTGTGTCCTCACGTGGCATCATAGGAAGAGATCCTCTCTGATGTCTCTTCTTATAAGAACATTAATTCTGTTCAGGAGGACCCCACTTTCATGATCTAATTACCTCCAGAGGTCCTGCCTCCTAATTCACATAAAGGATTAGGATTTGCACAGATGAACTCAAGAGGGGCGAGGAGTAGATGTCACAGCTCACTGTTGGAAGAATTGAGTCCATCCTGTGTGATCTCCCTGGGAAGAGGGTTCTGGAAGCTTGCACCTAGTCCCCCCTGGCTTCCTGCCATGCACCTTTACCTTTGCTGACTTTGTCCAGATGAAACATAGTCACAAGTACGGCTGTGTGCCGGATGCTGTGGGTCTTCCCGGCAGATCATCAAACTGAGGGATGTTTGGGGGACTCCCCACACAGTACGTTATCAGTGGTGATTTAAAGAACATTTGAAAGCCATGTGCTATTGGTATTTATGTCATTTGTGGATGATGAGGCTCAGCATTCTAGCACTTCCCAAGAGATGCTGATGGTAGTAATCAAACGTTTTTCTCAGCACGACAAGTAGAATACTTTCTCCAGATATCCTAAGACTGGTTATAGGCTGGCCCCTATCTTTAATTTAAAGATGAGTTCTTTAGTTTAATATTTTAAAAGAAAGTTTCTCTAAATTCCCAATGATTTGCACTGTGCCTAGCTTGATAAATGTTGAAGTTAATTGAAGATGACTCCAATAACTCTTGAATGCTCCGCTCTTCGCCAATTCAGTCCTGTCTGCCTGCAGTATCCCCTCCCCACCTGTTCCTTAGCACTCATTCTCTGAACCATGTAAGCACTATTACACACTTCCAGACATTTACATCTAGTAAGTTTCTTCAGTAGAAACTTAGTAAAGTTTCAAGAAATTTATTCTTCAGGTTTTTATGTATTGCTATGCATAATTAACAGCTCTTAGGAAAACTGATGTATAGATTTAACCACATCTAATAATTATTTTGAGTATTTATTAAATGACAGAATCTGAATCTAAATGAAAATTTATATATTAATAGCATCCTTAAGAAAAATAAAAAGCCAATTATGCATATACCAAATGAACTAACCATGATGATGGAAAATTTTTAAATGTTAAAGAGTATCTTCCCCTTTGGAACCATAATTCTCTTTCTCCACCTTTCATCTGTATCCAATGAGTTGCAAAATGGTTTTTTAACTTCCTTTTGAAGGTGCTTTCATACCAATTCCAGTATCCAGTATACTACTATTGACTGCCATTTAAAGACTTTGGGAAGATTCTACTATTAATGAAATTTTAGGATGCTCTCAGCTGAGGTTCAGAATAACACAAAGCCACAAGTTCATATGGAAATACAAAGTGAAATGGGAAAGCACTGTTGCAAAGTCACCACCAGATAGGTAAAACTCAGGAAGAATTATGCAGATAACTCAGGACACTTTCTTAACCTCTGTTGACTTTCAGTTTGGACGGATTGTGAACAAACTGAAAAATTCTTCCATTTCTGAAGCTCTTGAAGTTATTTTAAGATATGAAGTATTTATAAAAGAAAATCATGTGTGTACTTATTATATCGAAAACATAACTTTTATTCTAGTCTTATGGGATATGTGATTTGAAATGTAGCAATTAGCTAGCAACAAGAATAATAATTTTCTCTAGAAAACTTTTTAGAATAAAATTCTAATATCCAGTAACTTTGAGACCAAGACAAGAACAAGGCCATCTTGAGAAACTATCAAAGATTCTTCTGACTGGGATTTGGGTAGCAGTTCACTTCTAAATTAGCTGTCCACATGCAGGATGTCTCACTACCTTTGGTAGCTCAGAGATCCCATTTTTCAAAGATTATGTTTGTTGTACCAGCCTGATCCTCAAAGCTTGGTTGGAAGACAAACATAGTCCAGAAATGTGTGTTATTGGACTGCAACTACATTAATGTAGAAATTGAAAGTCTTTAGAAACTTATAGCAACTCAGCCTAGCCATGGCATCCAAAAAAGTGATCATTTTTCTAGGTAATTCATCTGTATTATAATTTACAAATGTATTCAACTGTGATGGATTGAAATTTTTTTCTGAATGGCCCTTCACTATATATAATTTAGGAATTTTTTTAAAAAATCAGATTCCTATATCCCAACACAAACAATGGAACCCACATTTTGGGGATGAGGATAAATCCCAGCAACTGCATTTTAACGAGCTGCCCAAGTCATTCTTTTTCATTCTCAAATTTGAACACTACTACTTTAGGAGGAGGGCCAACTGCATGATTAATGTATTTTTCTAAGTATGACATTGTCTTTGGGAGCCAGCAAGTTTAAGAACCAGTGATGCAAAGGTCACAAGTGACACAAAAGTGACTGTAGTCCACATAGATGCAGTTATGTTAGTGGCTCATAGAAACATCCAGGTAACAGATACCTGTGGTTTCTGGGTATGATTCTATTCCCAGTTTATAAGATGCCTTTGTGCAAAAAAATGTCCTTGAAGCCACCTCATGACATTGTGCAGGGAAAATGTAATAAATACAGTCATCCCTAAGTGTCTGTGGGGAATGGGTTCCAGGATCTCCCTTACACCACAGTTGATGGATGCTCAAATACCTACACACAATGACACAGCATTTGCATATGATCTAGGCACATGCTCCTGTATGCTTTTAGTCATCTCTAGAATACTTAAAATACCTAATGAAATGTAAGTGCCAAATAAGTAGTTCTTATACTATATTGTTTAGGGAATAATGGTGAGATTAAAGGCTTGTGCATGTTCAATACAGATGCATGTTTTTCTAGAATATTTTTGGTTGAGTCTGCCAATGTAGAATTCCTCTGAAACACTGAAGGGCTGCCTGTATACAATGATGCTTGTGATAGGAAGAGCACTCCCTTAGTGGTTCCCTGGATGCAGCCAGCACAGTATATGCATGCCCAGGTGAAGGAGAACAGCCAGTCTTGTGGTAAAATATAGTCCCAATTAGAAAGCATCAAAGCTATCCAGCTCCATAAACATGGACCTGGGAACACTCCACTTCCAGAGAGTATGTACATCAGACTAGGGATAAAGGGAGAATTCAATGTCCCTGGGCAGATGAGCTTCCTCATTCACCTTGTCAACTCTTCATAGATGATTTTACACAAGGGAGAAAAAAAATCATAGATTATCATTGCCAAGTAGGAGGGAGAGTTTTGTATGTGTTGGTGCCCATATATCAGGTATCCAGCAAGCACCAATTTCTTGCTCTCAATTGACCCTACCTCAATCACAGTAGCTTGGGGCTGGCCCAACAGAAGATTTGCAGCTGAAAAGTAGGTTTTCTGTGAAATAAGAAAGGAAACTGAGAGTCCTGGGAGGAACCAGAGAGGAAATGATCAGTAACTTAGAAGGTTTTTTAAATTTCTGTTTGTTTTGTGGAACTCAGGGTCTCATGCACGGCACACCAGTGCTTTACCACTGAGCTACATCCCTAGCCCTTTTTTTAGTTTTTATTTTGATACAGGGTCTCACTAAGTGTGTAGGCTGACTCCAAACTTGCAATCTTCCTGCCTTGGCTTCCTGAGTATCTGGGATTACAGGTGGGCACCACCATACCCAACTTCAGGGTTCCATCTTCATATGCCTCAGCACACCATGGGCTACATGTATTCCATTTAATGGAAGTTGTAGCATTGCAGGTGTAAAGAGAACAAGTGCAGAGCAGATGTTTCTTGCCAGTCAGCCACATCAGTCATTACCACTCCCCGCAAAATGGTCTCTTTTACTTAGTTCTTCACTGAGTTCTAATTTTCTTTCCACGTCAGGAATCCTCATCATGATGTCCATGTGCAGAGAAGTACACGTGTACGAATATATCCCATCTGTCCGGCAGACGGAGCTTTGCCACTACCATGAGCTGTACTACGATGCAGCCTGCACCCTGGGAGCCTACCACCCGCTGCTGTACGAGAAACTCCTGGTGCAGCGCCTGAACATGGGCACCCAGGCTGATTTGCATCACAAGGGCAAGGTGGTCCTGCCAGGTTTCCAGGCTGTGCACTGCCCTGCACCCAAACCCATCAATGCACACTCTTAAAAGTGACTCTTGGGAATCAATGTGCAATAAGGTACTACTGTTGTCCTCGAAGTCACAAAAGAATACTTGAAACTAGATTTTAGACAATGTAGTATTGAGTCTTTAAACTGTAATTTAGTGGTGACCCTGAGAATTCTTCTCTTTCTAAAGCCATTGAGTATTTATTACTGCTTTGAATATAGAAATGGAATTTTAAAAAAAAATACTCGAGAAAGATGCAAAAAAAAAGAATATATAAAAAGAAAACAGATGTATAACCATGGGTATGATACCTCCAAAAAAGGCTGGCCTTTTCTTATGCCAGTGGTACCCTTTATCAGGGTGGGTAATGAAATGGTTTCTATCTAGAAATATCCAAATTGAGGTCTAGTACCTAGCGTGTCACTTATATATGTATTCATCCTTAAGTTTCCTGGATTTTATGATGAATGCCTGAAATATCACTCAGATATTTTATCTTGGCAGCAAAAAATCCCCCGTGTATCTGATCAGGTGCACAAGTTTCCAACCTTTGTGTCCCCCATCTCCTCTTTGCATTGTCCACTGAATGCTTTGCACTCGGCGTATCAGGACAATTTCTAAAACCATAAATCATCCATCCTGAGCAGTCCAAGGAAATGCCCAACCCTTGAGAGCACCACAGACAGGCCTTTTGGTTCCCTGCAAGGCTTGGTTTCACTCAGACAGCATCACTGGCAAGTCCACACAGAATCACGAGGCTGTAGAGGCAGGGGGAGGACATTCCTCAGCTTCAGCTTTTCAACCCTGTGCCTCCAGGCCTGCAGGTCCACCCCACAGCTCTTGGATAGCAGGTGACTCATGTGACAATTGGTACAACCTGGCAGGAGAAGCCAGGGGACAGACTTGTTCCTTCAAACTGGACAGGACTGTGGCGCCACCAGCCCGGGCTGTGGGGGACGCATGCCTCTCTCTTTTATACAGATTTCTTGCAGGTTTATATCAGCTGTTGGAAACTTGACAGTGATGTACTCCAAATTTTCACTGATTCTTTGTACTGACAGACATTTAAAAATCCGATCCTTGTTTTCACCAGTATGTTTGATGTCAACAGCATGACAAAGCCATATTATTAAATAAAATTGTGTGAAAGCATGGCTTTTTAACAGCAAGGAAAGAAAATTTTCAGATGGAAATGCAATTAGGGGAAATTTTCACCCCAATGTGGTAGCTATATTCAGGTTTTTAAATCTCAACTTGTGTCACTGATACATGATTATTATTATTCTTATTTTGGTATGAAGATAGTACAATAGAAACATTTTGGAATACCTTAATTAAACATGCTATTATTTCAATATTAAAACGAAAACTATCTCAGTGGTACAGTTAAAACTTGTTGGCAATGACAGAAGCTTAATTAAATACTATTTCCCTTGCAGAGTCCGTGAATGTCAGGAGAGTTTAGTGGAAAAGGTGTTTTTTTTTTGTTGTTGTTTCAGGATTGGTTTGTTCCAGAATGCTCTCGGGACTGCTTTCTTGAGCAAGAGTGGTTTACAGACACTGACAGCTTCTATTTAGTTATTCTACTCAGCAGAAAGCAAGTTGGATAACAGACATCCCCTGTGGCTTATTGCAGTATCAAAGTGGGAGTAATTGAAAACTTTGAGTCCTGACAATATCTAATAAAAGTCCATTTTGAGAGCCCTGTTACTAGCCTATGAGAAGGGATAGATGGTTCTTCCATGTGCTGACTTACATCTCAGTAGACATGGTCCTGCCGTGTTTCTAATTTCCCAGAAGATCTCAGGCTCATCCCCATTTATGTGTGTAACAGCTTCTTTAACTCTAGAACGCAGCGAGAAAGTTATAATGTGGGACAAGTATTTCCTCCTGGAATCCTTGGATTTTCTAAGTCTTCCAAGTTTTTCCATGTTAAATGCCCACAACTATTAAAGTTCTTTTCATAGAGCTCTAATGGATTCACTTATGGGCATCCATATTATCCAGGACACCCTATCTTGGGTGACATGAGATTATAGCTAGAGAATAATGTATTGGAATCAACATGAATGTTTGTGTCCAAAAGCCCCAGAAAACACTTTAAAGATTTTTAAATAGCATTCTGTTATAGCATGTGTACTTTTAAAAGGGCACTTTCATGAAGGTTACAAGAAAGACTGGAGAGCATAAAGGAAACTTAATTAAAATTTTTGAATTTATTATGGCCCTAAAGACTCTGGGGATCAGAGTCTGTTAAACATTCAGAAAATGTGATACACATATTAATATAGTGTTGGCTGGGCATTCCTCTATTTAAAAGTTTATATTGTTTAAATTCCCAAAAATGTTACACAGCAATAGTTAATGAAGGCTGCTTTTAGTAGTAGCTAAATGGGCCCTAAGTGGCAGTATTTTGCCAGATATTTATTAAATTTACATACCATACTTAGGAACTCCCATAAACAGAGTCACAGCCTTTCTGTGGAGTGGTTACAGTAAATGGAACTCCACCTCTGTCAGAAATCTGTCCCTTTTAGGAAGGAAAGCTGGTTAAATCTTCATGGTGCAATCTGAAGCCATCAGGGGGTTCTTTATCTACACTCAGGACTAAGATGTCACATTTCTTTGCATTTCAAGACAGCGTCACTCTATCTCTTATTGTCACTATTGTAAAGAAACAAATGTTGACCAAGAATGACAATTCAAACACATCTAGGTTCCCCATATTTTTTTCTCCAGTTGATCACGTGAGGCAGGAGGATAGTGTGTAACAAGTGTGTCATTCTCAATCCTGGATTGTTCCCATGGAATACCAATGATGGGCCTTGTCCCTGACTTCCCCTCTACATTCTTACAGGGCTGCTTCTATGGAGAACTTTGTGCTCAGGACCAAGAGATGATCGATTAAAAGTTGCATGTAAGCCTCAGGGCTGTGCTTTACCAGGCAATTCAGAGGTTTTGACACATCTTTGCATCATTGTGTCTTTCCTGGTCTTCCTGGACACAGAGATCAAAAAAATAGCACTTCCATGTGTCTCATCTGCTTGGTCCCTCAGCCACTTTATCAGTCCTGGACTCTCCGGTAGTCTTCTGTCATTATAGCCATAACATGTGGGCAAAAGCAACACTAAGATAATCCTTAACTTTTTCAAAATTGGGGAAACCAAGGAACTGGATAACTCTAAGATGAGTTTATGAGCCAGTTCATTCTGCTGGAACAGGTTATATCTTATGTTCTTGATGGACCCTTCTGACAGTAAGGAACACTGTGTCTACTGAATTAATTAGGTGCTGTTTGGGTGCATAAGGTGGGATCAGTCTTAGATGAGTAACAACATTTCATATGCACCAATGACACAAGCAAATTTCTCCAGGTTTTCTTATAAATCAACACACAGTGCATATGGTCAGGTTACTTGATCTCCTCTGTTTGGCTGTGGGAAAGACAGAGAAAGGGCCTGGAGTGGGACTTGGGGAATTATCAACAGGTGCATGATTGAATATATAGGACCCTAGTCTCAGATTGTGTTCTGTCATGTTACCTGTTTGGATTTCTGACTTTTTGATGATTTAGGTCTCTAACCCTGTGGTTACACACCCAATCAAGGCAGCTCCATTTAGAAATCAATTGCTTAGTTAAAATGTGCCTGAGTTTAAACTTGTTTTTTATACTCTGGATATTTCCATTGTGAAATTATTCTGCATGTTTCTGTCGGGCATTATTTAAACACTTGGTAAATGAATGGTCTTTTTCTGACAAAAAATGGAAGTTCTGATTCTTGTTTTATTAAATGAATAAAGGATTTTAGTGAGAAAAAAATAATCTGACATATTCTCTACAAGTTTAGGCTAATGAAATTTGAAGAATTACAGACACTGATATAGTTCTTATCTTAGTAGAAAAGTGTGCATGTAGATATAGTTATATAATTGTATATATACATATCTACACACATGGTTGGTTTTATAGTCTTTTTCATTAATCTTTATGACGAACCCTTTACAGTAAATCTTATTTTAATTATGAAAACACCAATTTTTTAAGAGAAGGAAGCAAATGTTTTATGTCCTTCTGTTAAAAAATAATTACTCCTCTACCTACCCACCCAGACATACACACTCACATTCTGCACATTTTGACAATATTAAAAGAATAACAGAAATATTTCAAAGGCATAATGATGGTAGAACCACTACCTTAATACAGAATTCTAGTCACAAGCCTGATTTAATTCTGAACTTTGAAGAGTTTACCTGCAATAGCTCATGGCTTTTACAAGATTAGGGGAAGAAACATTTATTGGTTCCAAGGAAAATAGTCTTCTATAGCTAAGTTTCAAACAAATAAAATGCATTGGTAATGTTAAAATCTAACATTCATAACACACATCCCATTTTGTTCTAGATAAAATGCTTATAAAATCCTTCCAGTGGAAACCAGTGAACTTTTTTAACAGGTTTGGGAATTTTTTTGTATGATGATTTTTAAAAACTAAATGTGTACTCTTCAAACTAATTAAGGCCTGAGGTTTTCCAGGAGTTGCATTTTAAAAAAAAAAAGTGTTTGTACACATTTTAACACTTTGATATTTTCTATTTTGGTTTTGTATATTTTTATGTATACACAGTGTACAGACTTTTTCTTGTAAATAAAACACACTTTTCATTTGTCTAGAAGTTTCTCTGTTTTTATTTGTAGAAGTCACACATGGAAATGACTAAGTGGCATAATAATGAGCCATTCCTAGAGGAGCAAAAAAAGTCACCCAAAGCTGAAATCTAATTAGAAGACTGGATGGCAAAAGAAGTAACAGCCCATGACTTCCAACTATAAATATTAGCACAGCCTGACCCGGAGCCAGAGGTGGTGGAGAGTTCTTCCAGGGTTTAATTGACACATGCAGGAAAATGAAGTGGTAAAATCAAGTGGGAAAGACAGATTTTCAGCAAACCCATCCTGATGTTACCTTAGTCACCTAGCTTTTTGATGAACTTATTGCACTTATTAATTTATTACTCTTCCCCATTGTGTCAGTAATTTAAGTTGAAGAAAACATAAACAAGTTATTAGAGAAAAGATCAAAGACAGTCGAGACACCTTCAACCCACCAAGATGTCAAATTAGCCTGGGTATTTTCCTACTTGCCACAGACAGGGAAAATCGGTTAATTGGATTTCTGGAAGGAGATCCTCAGTCATTTGTACTTTTTTTAGATAGACTGTGTAGGAATCCTCATCCGGGAAGGCTTCAGGTTCAGATGTGAACAGCTGGGGAATCCGGAAGAGACTGGTCGTCAGGGATGGTTGTACTGAATCCCAGAGGACTCCCGCCACCCCGCAGGATGACAGCTTCCTTCTAGGTAAATGTGGGGCAGGCTGGCCATGCTGTGAAGAGTCAAAGGACGCTGGTCTATGCCCAGTGGGCACGCAGGATGAGCAGAGCTGGGCACACGGAGGGGCACACACGGAAGACTGTCCCTGGAGATCTGAATACTGAACTCTGGGAGGATTAAGGGTAAAGAAAAGAAATCACGTTAGATAGGTAGTGCTCACAGCAGTAAAGGAGGAAGCAGAGATTTCCTCCACTTAGACAATGTTTCAACTTAGAGTATTTTAACTCTGTGTGCTGAAACTATCCACATTCCCCCAAAGCATAATTCAAATTTTGTATTTGGAACTCTTCCAGGGCTAGCACTCTGCATTCACATCCTCTTTCTCTCAACGCTGGGCAGTGGCATCTCCCCGTTAGTACCCACCCCCTACCCTGATGGGAAACTGCCCTACAGTGCGTTGTGTGCTAAACTAGGATGTGAGAAAGTTAGATGGATTCAGTGCATCTGCACCTTAGGAAGAGAATTAGTGGGGGTGAAGACCTGGGCAGGGAAAGGAAGTCCAAAGGGAGAAGCAATGAAAATAAATGCCACCGCGTGTCTGATGTCATTTACATGTTAAAGTCATTAATTCAGAAATAAAAATACTCCAGCATCCAGTGACCAATGCCTGTAATCCCAGCAGCTCTGGACACTGAAACAGGAGGATCAAGAGTTCAAAGCCAGCGGGCTGGGGTTGTGGCTCAGTGGTAGAGAGCTTACCTAGCATGTGTGAGGCCCTGGGTTTGATCCTCAGTGCTACATAAAAATAAATAAAGGTTTTGTTGTTGTTGTTGTTGTTTGCTGAGAGCCATAGCCAAGTAGGAATGACGCGTGGCAATTTCCTTGTCAGCCTACCCCATGTTGCTTAGAGGGAGGACTCTCCATTGTGGAAATGGGCTTGCCTTGGACCCAGGTCATTTGCAGTGACATTGCATGAATGTTTGAGAAAGGTGACCCTGCTCAAGGACCAGGGTGGATCCGGGTTTAGGGAGGATCCTGCTGGATTAGGGCGGTTCCAGGTTTAAGGTGGACCCTGCTGGGAATAGGGCGTATCCTGCTGCCTCAGGTGCCCGCCCGCTCCTTGAGTTCCCGTTGAGTTCTCGCGGGATTCAGAGAGTATTTGGGATGCAGAGTGCCGGTGGATTTCCCCAGAACGTGCATGTAGAGTGCCGGTGACAGTTCGAGAATAAAGAATTGCTGTTTGAATCTACAAGGCTGTGAGTGGCTCGTGATTTTGTGCCCAGCCAGACTGTGGCAGTTGTTGTTGTTGTTTTTAAGAGTTCAAGCCAGAGTCAGCAAAAGTGAGATACTAAGCAGCTCAGTGAGACTTTGTCTCTAAATAAAATACAAAATAGGGCTGGGGATGTGGCTCAGTGGTCAAGTGTCCCTGAGTTCAATACCTGGTACCAAAAAATAAAAAATAAAATAACTACTCCAGAAACTAAAGTCACACCCAGTTTATCCAGCCAAATGACACCAGTGCAATGTCAGGTCAATCTGTAAGGGTCAGGCGAAGCGTCGGAGAAAGAGACCACCAAGTGACCACTCATGCAATTGGCAGAAGGGGATTTATTGAACCAGCATGCTGGGGCTCAGTGCCCACTCAAGAAGGGAAAGCAGCCCAGAGCCCCGAGCAGGGGCTGAGCACTGCTTAAGTACACTTTTTGGGGAGGGCGGAGGGCTTTGTATACATCAGAACAAATCATCATGAGGCGCGGGAAAATTGAACAACAACTCCTAAACATGATTAGTTCATTCATTGGCGGGAACAGGTCAGGCTGGAGTGATAGGTCATTCCTAAGGAGAGTACACATTTAAACTGATTGGTTTAGGCCCTGCAAGGCCTACGTGCGACCACACAGAGCCCTTCAGTTATTAAACAACCAATAGTCAGGGGAAATATTTACTGGGCGGTTCCAAGCATTGTCTTAACAGCTACAGAAATTTCAGGTTTTGCAGGTAACATAGGAACCTAACAATACCTAATCCTTTACATTTTAACTCAGACCTTGCAGCTTAGAAACTTTACAATACCCGGTCTTTTACCCTTTAACTTTTACGCTTTAACTTCAATTTCTTTTACCCTTACAAATCCAGGTGCACAGGATGTGAAGGGAGTGAGCAGGGATTGGCAAACCCCCGCCCAGGAACTAACTTTGTAAATAAAGTTTTATTGGAACACAGACCTGCTCATTCACCTCCACTGCTGAGACTGCTTCCATGATGCAAAGTCAGAGTTGAACAGTCAGGACTGGGATCATGTCATCTCCCAAGCCTAAAATATTGATTAGCTGACCCTTCACACAAAATGTTTGTTGACCCCTGTCATGAATCCAGTGTGTGGAGAACCACGTGGACTAGCCCATGGCAGATGTTGTGCATGTGCTTCTCATAAAATCACTTTAGAAGGTAGACGTTCTATTAGCTCCCAGAAAGTTGGGGTCAGAGAGGTTAAGTCAACAGCCTGTCTTCTCACAGGCAGGAAATGACAGAGTCAGGCTTGCAGTCCTAGTCTGACTTCAAAACCCATGTTCAGAGCCATGGTGTTAGTTTTTTAAAGCGGCCCCTCTCTGATCTTCTGCCCTAATACTAAAAAATCCCACACCCCAACAAACTCCAAGCACCCAGATTTTGGAGGCTAATTATATAGTTATATATTGCACCACCGTGACATTTTAATCAAGGCACTGTATAACTAGGTGCGCAATAGGCTGTACTATCTAGGTTTGCTCAAGCGTACTCTATGATCACACAAAGAAGAAATCAGGCCTAGGCTTGTGGCTCAGCTGTAGAGAGCTCATCTAGCATGTGCAAAGCACTGGGTTTGAGCCTCAGCACCACATAAAAATAAATAAATAAAATAAAGGTATTGTGTCCAATATGACATATGTATATATATATATGAAGAAATAATACAACAATGCATTTCTTGATCCATATCTTTGTCATTAAGCCACACATAACTGGTGTTTTGACTATTATGAGAAATTATGCTTTGAAATTTGTTGAACAGCTGACTTTTCCAAAGGCTTTTTCCAGTACTCAAATCCCCAGAGCTCTGAAATATATCAAGCACTACTTGTGCCAGTCAAGTATGATTTTTATTTTGTTCTAAGAAGCCAGCCTCTCTGTCAGCCCAGTGACAGAGCACCTCTGAGGTGGCCAACAGAAAGTAACCCTGAGGGTCGGCATCCCATGGACTCCACTCCCAGGCACTGTCCTCACTAAATTGTATCATGCTGGAGAAGCAAGTGGTACTTAACCTGAAGAAAGAGGTACCAGCTGAGAAACTGACCAAAAAATTCAAGGTGAAGGAAAACATCAATGCCTTTGGGAAATACGACGTGTTCTTCGGTCAGTGCTGACTTGCCTAAAAGCATCCCAAGGGTAGAGGAAAAAAGAGAAATAAAACAGCAACATTCCCTTTGGTTGTTCTAAAAGCAGTGCTGATGGGAGGAGATTGGAGAGGTTGATTAGAGAGGAATTGCTTTTATTCCCATCTGCAAAACCAATTTGAAAGAGCCCTGGAAAACCTACAGGAAAACATCCAGAGACTTTGGCGGCCAATACTGTGGTCTAGCAGCTAAAGTGCCAACATCCATAGGGATTCACAAGCTTCTCCAGGAATATTGTACAAGCTGTGGAATTCTGTGAGAGAAATATAACAATCACAAGATGCTTTTCTGTTCAACAAATTTCAAGAAAAATGGTGATTACTTTTGTTAGAGATCATTATTTCCTCACACTGTTCCTGTTGATGATCTTGCTTATATGCAGTTCCTGACATAGTATACAATGGACAAGCCAGAGGGGCGAACTGCCCAGAGAAGAAAAGCAAAAGCCTGGTAAGGTTAAGCATGGAGTCAGGCATGCTAGGGGAGAGAGAGAGAATGCTCAGCTTCAATTTGATCATTATATACTATATGCATGTATTGAAGTATCATACACTGTTCCATAAAAACATACAACTATTATGTGTTAATTGAAAAATCAAGAGAGAAACTTAAAAAAAAAAAACAGGACTGGAGATGTACTGATGTACTTCAGTGGTAGATTGCTTGCCTAGCATTTTTAACACCCTGGGTTTGATCCCCAATAATAAATAAATAAATAGCCATGTTCATCTTATTCCATCCAGTCTAAGACATCATTAAGTATAAAATGCACCACTCATTTGCATCCCACCACAAAGAAAAGTGTTATGATTAAACAACATGAGTCTTCCATCCCAGATGTGCACAGTGAAACACAATTGCTTTGAGCCACACGTGGATATTGAACATTTGAACTATGCCTATCCCTGAATTGAGGTGTGAAGAGTGAAATACACACTGGAGTTCAAAACTTTGGAAAGGTGAATGTAATCTATCTCAATAGTTTTTTTTCAAATTAATTACCTTTCAAACTGATATTTTACATATATTTGTTTAAATAAAAATGTTAAGTTAAATTTCAAATTTCCTTTGTCCTGTTTTAACATGCTCACTAGAAGACTTAAAATTGCATCAATGGAACAAAATAGAGAAACTGGAAGTTAACCCACGTATCTACAGTCACCTGATCTTCAACAAAGGTACTAAGAACATACATGGGGGAAAGGACAGTTTCCTAAGTAAATGGTGATGGGAAAATTGGATATCCACATGCAGAAGAATAAAACTAGAACCCTGATTTTCATTATATGTGAAAGTCAACTGAAAATAGATTAAAAACTTAAGTGTAAGAAATGAAACTACTAGAAGAAAACAGAGGAAATGCTTCAGGACACTGGAATGATTGCAATGATTTTTTTAAATATCCCAAAATTACAGGAAATAAAAGCAAAAATAGATAGGGTTATATTAAACTAAAAATCTTCTGCACAACAGAAGAAGCAACAGAGTCAAGAAACAACCTATGATATGGGAGAAAATGTCTGTAAAGGGTACATATGTCAAGGGTTAGATATTCAGAATATATAAGTCACTCAAAGGATTCAATACCAAAATAAATGAATAATCTGACTTTTAAAATGGGCAATAGAACTAAAAAAGACATTTCTCAAAAGAAACTATACAAATGGACAAAATGTATATGAAAAAAATGTTCAGTGTCACCAACCATCAGAGAAATACAAATCGAAATCACAATAAGTGTAACCTTACTCTAGTAGGAATGGCTATTATCAAAAGGACAAAGAGGGGCTGGGGTTGTGGCTCAGCGGTACAGTGCTCACCTAGCACAGGCAAGGTGCTGGGTTCTATCCTCAGCACCAAATAAAAATAAATAAATAAAATAAAGATATTATGTCCAAACTACAACTAGGAAAAAATATTTTTTTTTAAAAAAAAGGGACAAAGATAACAAGTGCTGATAAGGGTGTGGGTGGTGGGGGAAACACCTTACACACTGTTGACAGTAATGCAGATTAATGCAGCCATTACAGTTCCTCAAAGAATTAAAAATAGGCCTAACATGTATAGAATCCAGCAACTCCATTACATATAATTGATTATATACCCAAAGGAATTCAAACAGGTGTGTTGAAGAAACACCCGCACTCACACGTATATTGAAGCACTGTTCACATCAGCCAGAGAATGGAAACAACATAAATGCCTATCAATAAATTAACAGATAAGGAAAATGTGGTACATATACACAATAGAAAACTATGCAGCCATACAAAGGGCAAAATCCTATCATTTGCAACAACTTGGCTGGAACTAGAAGACTTTATGTTAAGTGAAATAAGTCAGGCACAGAAAGACAAATACCACATGATCTCACTCATATGTGGAATCTAAAAACGTTAATTCGTTAATTTCATGAAAATTGAATGATATGATGATTGCCAGAAGCTAGGGAGAGCAGCAGCAGAGAGAGATGGGAAAGGTTGGTCAATGGGTACTAAGCTGTAGTTGGAGAAATGAATTCTTTTGCACAGACGTCATGATAAAATACTGTTATCTTAAAAAAAAAAAAAAAAGCCAGGAGAAAGTATTGGTGAATATCCGCATCACAAAGACAAAATAAGTGCTTAATAAAGTAGATATGTGTACCTTGATTTTAATAGATTTTTTATTACATATCACCCTGGGATTTACAGAAAAGCACATTGTAGGGGAAACTCATCATTTAGAGTATTCTCAAAACATTCATATTCATATTCTTTCTCTTCTGAGTTGCTTTTAGAAGGAGTCATTAACTTCTATGATTTTCCACCCCCAAATT